CCCCCCGGGAGGAGCCGGCGCGAGGCTGCTCGGCGGGGCCCACGCCGGAGCCCGACCCAGCGCCGGGCAAGGGCGGGTTGTCGCTGCCACTGCGGCCCTGCCATCGCACCCCGCGGGCCGAGGGCGATGGGCACGGGCGCCGCTCGGACTCGCCCCACGACGTGGACTTGTGCCTGGTGTCGCCCTGCGAGTTCGAGCACCCCAAGTCGGAGCGGTCGGCCTCCCTCAACCTCAGCCCCCGGGACTTGTCCGACAGCGACCTCTCCCAGGAGCTGGCCAAGCCGCTGGCCCCGCGCTGTGGCGCGCTGTGGCCCAGCCCACAGGCCGGGGGGCGACGAGACGCCCCCCACCTCGCTGAGTGAGTCACTGCCCCCGACCCGGACGGGCCCCGGCCCGCCGAGGACTGCGCCTGCGTCCTGGCCGACGGCGGCCTGGAATCGGATGAAGAAGCTGTGCACCCCACCAGGGCCCGGGACCCGCTCCCAGCCCCCATGAAGGACCCCTGCCCCCTCCCCGCCCAGCCCGGGATCTGCATGGTGGACCCCGAGGCCCTGCCCGTGGACCATGCCCGCTCGGGGAAGAAGGAGCCGGCCGGCAAGCTGAAGAGGACTCCGTCCCGCCCGGGCTCAGCCCCCACGCCCCTGCGGGCCGACCCCCCCAAGCACTCCACTCTCAAGGCCAAGGCCCCCGGGGGCTCCGCGCGCGACATCGGAGACAAGGCCCGGCCGCCCACCCTCGGCAGGGCCAACACCCTGGAGAAGGGGCTGCACGCCAGCGGGGACATCCGAGCCCCCTTGTCCTCGAGCCGGGGCGCTGGAGTCCGGCCTCCCTCGGGCGCCGGCCGGTCGTCCCCTGCAGGTGAGGCCTCTTCTCGTGGCCCGGTAGCTTGTCGGGGTGGATCTTGGGGTAGGGGCCTCTGCTTTCCACAGGCACCAGCCCCTCGGGCAGCTGGGCCTGACCCAAGCGGCTCTGTGGGCATCGTGGCTTGCAGATGCTCCGTGCACGCTGTGGGAGGGAAGGACTGGGGCACCCTGGGCACAAGCTGGCTGCAGGGCTCAGGAGCTCCCGTCTGGGTCGGGCAAATGCCATTGGGGGTGGAGCAAGACGTCCCATCTCAGAATGGGCTGAAAATTTGGGGCAGGGGGCAGGATGTACGGAGCAGGGAAGAGCCCCGGCTGCTGGAACGTGCCCCAGGGACCGAGAGCATCCAGGAGCAGGGAGAGCCGGGCCTGGGGTCCAGCGACCTCCACGCATCCAAGGGCACGGAGCCCCCCGACCGTGTCTCATTTTGGGGCTGCCCCTCCTGCAGCGGGGGGCTGAGTCCATGGGCCCGATGCCCGTGTGGGGCGGCTGGTGCTGCAAGGGCTTCGTGTCTCCGCTTCCAGGCTCCAAGCCGGCCTCGCCCCCTGGCCCCCCGGTCTACGTGGACCTGGCGTACGTGCCCGGCTCGTGGAGCGCCCGGACCGTGGACGAGGAGTTCTTCCGGCGCGTGCGCTCCCTCTGCTACGTCATCAGCGGCGATGACCACGTCAAGGAGGGCGTCATGCGCCCCATCCTGGATGCCCTTCTGGCGGGCAAGCAGCAGTGGGGCAGCGACGTCCAGGTGAGACCCCCAGCAAGGTGTTTGGGGGAGGGGGAGGGGAAGGGTCCATATCCCGTGGTGCAGCAGGGCCTGGAGGCTTTGCCCAGTGGAAGCTGAAGGGAGCTGGTTGTGGCCTCTGCCCATCCCCTGCAGCGGGGCACAGAGACGGTCCTGGTGCAAACACCCCCGGAGAGCAGTGCCAGGATCGGGGCGCGCCCCCCCCAGTGTCCATGTCTCACCCAGCGCTTGGTGCAAGACGGAGCCTGCAGCCCCACGGGCCAGATGTGTGGCTGGGCACAGAAGCCAGGCGCCCCGACCCGGGCCCTGATGCTCCGTGCCCTGGTCTGCGCTACCCCGGCAGGGTCGTGACTTCGGTGCCCGGTCACTCTCTCCCTGCAGGTGACCCTGATCCCTACCTTCGACTCGCTGGTGATGCACGAGTGGTACCAGGAGACCCACGAGCGCCAGCAGGAGCTGGGCATCACGGTGCTGGGCAGCAACAGCACCGTGGCCATGCAGGATGAGACCTTCCCCGCCTGCAAGGTGGAGTTCTGAGGGCGCCGGCCAGGGTTAACCCTTTCCAGCCCAGCACCGGAGGAGGGACTCGGTTGCCCGCTGGCCCCCCTGCAGGGGTTGGGACCTGATGCCCCTGCACTGGGAAAACACTCCTGAGCCTGGGGAGGGGAGGGGGGAGGAGCCCCTCCTGGACTGGAAAGGGTTACCTGGCATGGCCATGCCCCCCCTGCATCGTCACTCACCACCTGGTTACTGCATGCCCACAGCCAGAGCCGCACACAGTCCTCGCTCTGTCCCCTGCCCCAGGGGTGACGGTTTGGGCGGGGGGGGGGGGGTATCCTCTCTGCCCCCTGCCCAGCAGAGGGGCTGGGGCTGCCCTGGGCATGAGCCATACTCGAGTTACAGGGTAATTTGTTTGTTCCTAACCTCCGTATCCTCTCTGCCCCCTGCCCAGCAGAGGGGCTGGGGCTGCCCTGGGCATGAGCCATACTCGAGTTACAGGGTAATTTGTTTGTTCCTAACCTCCCCGCCCGGGACAGGGGTCTGCAGCAAGGGGTGGGGGGGCACATCCCTGGCAGCCGGCCCCCTCCCCTCCCACCCACAGGTGCCTGAATGAGGTGAGACAAGGCAGCTGTTGCCCCTCTTCCCTCCCCCCTGCAGCTGGATGGGCTCCAGCATCCCCTGGGATAGCCGGGCACACACTAGGGCTGTTTGCAGCTCCCGAGCTGCTCTTTGCCTCGGGCACAAATGACACGAGCTTGCCAGTCCTCTCCCTGGGGCAGGCTAGGGGCTGCTGTCCCTTGGCTGTGTGGGGCAGGTGCCAGGGCTGTCTTGCCCCCAGCTGCTCCATGTGTTGAGTTGTCTTGGGATCTTTTTTGTGTGTGCCTCCCACTGTTTCCCTCCTGCCTGCTGCTCCGTGGGAGAAGAGCCACACGCGAGCCCACAGGGCCCCAGGCAGGCCAGCTGGGGCTGTGGGGGCACCCCCCTGCCCTGGCACTGCTGTGCCTGAGTCTGGGGGTGCAGCCCCTGCTCGAGCCCCCTCCCCAGCCCCCCACGCCCGGTGTGGACTCGAGCCCAGGTGCTGCTGGATGTTTTTTAAAAAACCAAATTCCCTCGGATGATTTTTTTAAAGATGATTTTAAGCGTGAGGGCCGGGGCCCTGGCCAGGGGGGAGGAGGATGGGGCTGGGCTGCAGCCTCAGCCTACCTAAGGGGCCCAGGGCTTGCTCGTGGCCCTCCTGCCCAAATCCAGCCTGAGGGTCCCGTTCCCCCTTGCTCGGCTCTGCTGGGCACAGGGCACCGACACTACCAGGTCTTGCAGAGGCTCTTTCTTGCCTTTTTGTAATGCCATTTCCCCCCTGTCTTTTAACAGGCAGTGACCCTGAGCAGCCCCCTCCCCTCGACCCCCGGGGGCTCTTATTTATCTGCGATCCCATTGCCGCTCCAAGGCAGCAGCAGGGCTCCCTGGGCACAGCATGGCGGGGGGCTGCACCCTGCCCCTGCCCGGCGTGGGAGGGATGGAGGAGCTGGGTCCCGGCGCTCGCACGCCTTCCCCCACCCGATTTGTCTTGTGCTGCGTGTTCGGGACGTGTCTGTCGGGGACTGAATGTTTCACCTTTAGTGCTTTATATATTCTTCTTAGCTGGAAACTGGTTTAGGGTGGGCCTGAGGGGCAGGGGGAGCCCCCCCATCCTCTTCCCACGCCTCTGCCGGGAGGCCGAGGCTGCTCGACGGTTAGACACCCCCACGCCCCTCACCGTGTTGCACACGACGTTTCGGTTTGGCAAGTGTATTGGAACAAGCATTAAAGAGATACTAGCTCTGTCTGCTGCGTGCCTCCACCGCCGCTTCCGGGCCCAGGGCTGGGAGGTGCTCGGGGTCCAGCTTGCTCCTTCGGCCCTGGCGTTGGCATGCCTGGAGCGAGGGGCTGGGGAGGGCAGGTGCGTCCCCTGGCAGCCGGGCTGTGCAGGGCGCTGCAGCTCCCAGTGCCAGGTGCTGGTGCCCAGCTCAACCTCCCTGAGGTGCTGAGAGCAAGCAGCAGCCGCGTAGCAGATGATGGATGGAAACCTGCAGCGGCTGAGGCCTGGCTCTCCCGGGTTGGAACAGGTGCCAAAGCCCCCTGGGCTGCGCTGGGTTTCCAATTGCAGGGAGGCTCCCCCAGGGCATCGTGTCCTCAGTGCTGGAGCCTCCTGCCCGCTGCCACCCCACTCCTCGGCTCAACCCTGCCTCTGCTGCAGAAGGTGGGGGGCAGCCCTTTCCTTCCAGCCCAGGATGGTGGCAGGTCCCATGGAGGGCCCCAGGCTGCCCTGAGCCCGGGGCAGGGAGCTGCGAGCGGGGTGGAAATAGGGGGCCTGGGCTCTGGGTACCAGCCCATCACCCACTGCTGCAGTTGCCATTAGCGACGTGGCTGTGGATGGGGTAAGGAGTTACCATGGCAACTGCCTGGAAACTCGAGTCGAGATCCTTGCAGAGCGGGAGCAGTCGGCTCCGCGCCCCAGTCCGGGCGTGCCCGGGTGGTGGGCTGCACCCCCAGCCCCAGCCCTACTGCATGGAGGTGGGCTGCACCCGCTTGTGCCCGGGGTGGTGGGGCCTGGGCTGGGCTGGGTGGGTGCAAGCTGTTGTCCTGGGAGGGACCCTACTGTCCAGGGGGCCTGTCCCATCACTAACACTGCCCCTCCCATGCTTTGGGGGTCCAGGAGATGCTCCGGTTGCAGCGAGCTTGCGGCAGAAGCTGGGGTCGAACCCAGCAGCCCCAGTTCCAGTCTCCAGCTGGGTCTGCTACAGTCCGTTCCCCTCCCACCCTGAGGCGGGGAGCCCAGGCATCCTCGCTCGGATGGGGCAGGGGCCCTTCTTCCACTGGTGCACGGGGCTCCTGCCCCGGCTGGGGGGTGGGTAGGGGCAGGCCCCACTCCGGCACCGCTGCAGCCCCTGGTCCCTGCAGCAGTGGCAGGCAGGCGGAGGGGCGGGCCCCTAGGGGACGAGCTGACCCCTCCCCACTGCCTCCAGGAGACCAGAGCTCAGCTGGACCTTTGACCGAGGTGTGGCCAGAGCCGCCCAGGGCTGCAGAGCCTCCAGCCCCTCGCCTGGCATCTGTGCCCCTACCTGCCTTCGTCTCCTTGCTGCCAACCAGGGCCCCAGCTGCACCCCAGTACCCAACGGGGTAAGTGCCATGTGGGGGTGCCCCCACAAGCCCCCCAGGCCGGACGGGCAGCTCCTCTGCAGGCGGCGGAGAGCAGGCGCCGTGGCAGGGGGGCGTCCTGGCCTGCGGCAGGGTCACCCCGTTGCATCTGCTCGGCTGGCCCCGCTCCTCCGCAAGGGGCTGCAGCCCCCAGCGCGCCCCAGGCCGGGGGTGGGGCAGAAGGCAGCCCTGACCCCAAGGGCACCGGGGCCCTGCGCCCCTTCCAAGCAAAGCAGGTCCTGGTGGGCCCGGGTCTCCCTGCCCCCGGGCAGGCACGTGGGGGACGAAAATAGAGCCAGGGACTGAGGAGGCCCCCGGGAATAAAACCACGAGATGCCTGATCTCGTGAGTGACCCCTGGCTGCACGTGGGGCGCCCGGCCTAGCACTGACTGCCAGGGCCCGGGCAGCGTGACCCCTGGGGGGGGGGGGCAGTGGGCAATCGGCGAGGGGGCCCGCCCGGTTGGGCTGGCACGGCCCCAGGGCTGCAAGGGGATGCAGGACCTGGATGGCATGGGCAAGGCCTGGGGCGAAGGACGGGCGCTGAGTGGCGGCTTTACCCAGGAAGCGCTTCAGCTGCTGCTGCTTCTGCTTCTGCTTCTGCCCAGGGGTTTCCTGGCGGGTTTCCCCGGGCAAGCACCTGCACCCCCACTCTGATCTCCCACTGGTGGGGGGCAGGGGGCAGGTGCCACGGCCCTGGCTTCTCCTCTTGGCTGCCCTTCTTGTGCCTCAGTTTCCCCCTCCCTTGCACGCTGCCCCACGCGCGCTGCCCTGTCCCAGCCGTGTCTGGAGCCGCAGGGCAAATCTGGCACTAGCACATCTGGAGCGGAGTGGGGTGGGGGGGGGGGGGCGGGGGGGGTTGCATGACCATGACCATGACATCACTACTATGGATTCATTCCCCCCCCATAGACTTCTGGGTCCTTGGGGGGTGGGGGGAGGAGGCGCTGCCTCTTTAAATATGCAAATAGCAGAGCAACATCCTCGCGGCGCGGACCAATGAGAAGCCGGCCGTGTTGCCTTTTGTAGCCGCAGCCCGGCGCACCGCCCAATGGGCGCGGGGCGGCGGCGCAGGCCCCGCCCTCGGCCCCCCCCGCGCTGGCTG